TTCTCTATTTTGAATGCTTAGCAAGATTTAGCAAGGCTGTACATAAATAATAAAAGAGAAACATGGTAAAAAAAGAAATGACGGGATCTCCATATTATGCACTATATTTAACTTTTTACAAAACGATAATACATTTAAATTTGGAACTGTTACAGCCATTTAATTATGAGCATTAGCAAACTTCTTACTGAGTGAATTGTTATGCAAATTAGCATCTCAGCTTCTTTTTAATGCACATCCCAGAACTTTAAAAAAAAATAGCTCCTAGACGTTTTGACTTTTTGTTTTGAAATTTTCACAAATGATTTACAGTGTGTTTATCTTCCAAACGCCGTCGGGGCATTGTTTTTGGTTGAACAGTGTTACAACAATCGTACAGACAACTAGCCTGGGTGTTAATTTATGCAAAAACTTGAAGTAGTGAAATTTGAGCTGCTGCCCTGCAAAATCGACAACTGGTAAACAGTTTTCAAGACGGCACTTTCTTCATAGTAAACAGATGTACCCATAAACCAATTTTTACAGGAAACAGAAGCATGGTTTAGAAGCTAAATCTTTTAAATCACTTTTGACCAAAAAAGCACATTTTTGTGCATATTTCAAACTACAGTGTCGATAAAAGAAATACTAACAAAATTTTAAAATTCATACAAAAAGCTTTTCGAAAATATATAGTTTTGTGGACAAGGGAGGTCATGTTGGTTTCCTAATTAACTAACTAAAATACCTGTCAGGTAAACTGCATCTCTACCTTAATTTGCAATAACAGGCTTAGACCATATTGTGTTGTTTATATTGTTATCCTACTTGCACTGTTGTAAAGATTGCGCTATATGTCATGTCTGACAGAGTGGGGGCGTAACATACGATGACAGTTATAATAGTTAAATGTTTAAACATTCCACCGTTTAACTCCGTGATCGCCATAGCAACTTTTGAGTGGAATACAAATTAATATTGAGTGCAATCATTATTTATCATTGAATTACACTATTATTTTATGTCTTGCAGATGCGGCATTCCAGTGTACATTTGATTCACCTGGTATTTGTGGGTTTACTCAGGAACAAGGTGATCATTTTGATTGGACGTTTGGTAGAGGGAAGACCCCTACACGTCGCACGGGACCCAATAAAGACCATACAACGAACACAGCGCAAGGTAATACTGCTGTGTTGTTTATCAAAGTTTTCAATACGTAAATAAATATATTGCCTTCGATGCAAGACATTTTTAGCTTCAAGTAGTGGCTCCATGCACCCACTCGCTGTCGATGTCCTGTATCATTAATGTAACTATATATATGAGAATGTGTCGCGTTCAATACCTGGATAATTTTGTAACTCGCCCGAACGTTCTGGCGTTGTAATTTTCATTAATTGTAAATTTCATTTGTAAATTCGATTCATTCATGGTTTAATTAGTGTCAGGAAGGTCACGTAAATCTATCAGTTATCCCATGACAGAACTTGCTATTTGATTGTAGTATTTGTTATCATATAGTAATTGTATTGTAATTCATCGTAGTTTGTGTTATGAAAATCAATAACTGGTTTTATACATAATCATACAACCTGGACATATTTACAGCTTGAGATATTTTAGAAAAAATGAAAACGATGTATATTTTCACTTTACTTGCGACAAAACTGTTTGTAAAACATAGACAGTCTTATGGAGCCTTAGTTTCCTCTGGCAAGATGGTGGATATAGAGTTACTATAGGGTAAATGACAATAACCCCATGTGCAAACTAAGGACTGCGTCAAACGAGACACACA